GCAGTTCGTCGTCTCTTGAGAACACCAGCGGGAAGAGCCACTCTGCTGTCCTCTTCTCGATCATCCGGCGCTGGTTGGCCTGCCCTCCGTACATGGCGCAGTTGGCCAGGGCCATGGCGCAGTGGCGCAGCACCACCGGGTCCGTCCAGCGGCACCAGTACAGGATGGCATCCAGGCCTCCGTCAGAGATGAGCTGGAAACAGGTCTCCTCGGTGTGTTTGAACATGTGCTCCAGGATACCGGAGACGCTCTGCGCCAGCTGGGGAACATCTCGCTCCTTGGCTAAGTTCAGAATCACCCCCAGACCGATCCGAGCGATCCGATCCCTGCGGGAAGGAGAGGCACAGGCAGGGAGTGAGGACTGTGACTGGTGTGGGAACTCCCTGGTGGTGTTTGCCCCGTGGTAACCAACTGCTTCCATGTGGGACGTGGCTGCCAGATACCCTGTCAGGCTGTGATGCAGTGAGGTGAGACAGGCTGGGGTTGGAAGAACCTGTCTGGGTCTGATGGAAGAACTTGTGCTGGGACAGAAAAGGGGCTGCAGAGCCCAGGACCACCCTGCCAGAGCTCTCGTGCTCGAGGGGAGACATACACAGCAATTAACAGTGTCAGGGTAGGTCGGTGCCAGGCTAGAAACAGATCTACTAAGTCAGCTTTGGGTGCGTGTGAGCTGCTCTGTGTTTGAGGGGGAACACTCGTTTGTCCCCCACCAGAGCTGTCCTCTGGCTGCTCTCCAGATCAGTGCCAAACCCACAACAGAGCTTTCACACCTGGATGAGCAACCTCACAGAACTGGCCACGGGGTATGTGAGAGGTGGGAACCTGCCTGTCCCTGGGCTGGCAGCTTGGGGGAAAGCTGTTTATTTCCTCAATCCTCTGCTCTCCTGGACGGGGACAGCAAGAGGCTGGGAGCAGGTGGCTGAGGGCCATGGCAGGCTGTGAGGGTGGTCCTAAAATGAGACCTACATGGGGCTGTGCCCTACAAGCAGAGTGAGGAAAGGGGAATGCTGGGCTCCCAGGTGCCCTCCCATGAACTTGCCTGGGGTGAGTGGGCAGCTCCATCTCTACCTTTAGAAATGACCCATTGGGTGCTGTGATGGAACTGCTCTGTTCCCAAGGCACAAGTGCTGGTGTGGGTGCCCCATGCCAGGCTGCTGCTGAGGGCAGTGGCACGTTTGTCCCCCAGCAGTGGCCTCCCTGCACTGGCAGGCAGGAAGAGCATTTCTGGGAAGCCTGTGGCCCACATGGCTCATGCTGACCTTGGGGTAGGTTTGGCAGTAACACTGTGGAGAGCTCTGGAAATAAAACCCCTCAGCCTCTGGGTCTGGCTCCAAGCCCAGACTTGGCCACGTAGCTGAATGACAAACACTGCCCCACCAGGTCCCTGACTCCCTGCAGCTCCAGGATGGAGCCAGGACTGGTCCAGCTCCTGGCTGAGCACCACTGCTGCTGTGCATGGCTGGTAGGAGAGGCCTCTAAGCCAGGGGCTTGGATCTGGGAGGACACCATATACGTCCTTGCCATCACTTAGAGGTTAATGGAGGGTCAGGCTGGGTGGAGTGAGGGGCTGGGGTGCCCATGGCTGCTTCAAGACCCTGGCCCAGGAGATGTTTCTGGAGCAGAGATGGCAACTCCAGCAGCTGCTTTCTCTTGCCAGGAAGCTAAGACCTGAATTCAGACCATGCCCATGATGTTTCCTGGGATTAATTCCAGTCTAATGGACTTTCTTGATTTAGCTGTTACTTCTTTTTGCCTGCCAGGGCATCTAGGTTGCAAGTTCATGGCCTTACAGCACAGCACAGTGATGGGCACAGCACACACAGTGTTGCCAGGGTGTGCTGAACCAAGCACAAGGCACAGCACAAAGCTTGCCTGTCAGGGGACCTTGTGGGAGCACATTCCTGGTATTTGGAGGGTGAGCTGTGGTGCAGGTGCTGCATCAGCACTGCTGTGCATTTAGAGCTGGAGGGGAGCTCCAAGGGTCACTGGCCACCTCCTTGCAGCCTCATGGCAGCCCTGGTCAGCAACAAAAAGTCTCTGGGAATTGGCTTTGTCCTCCTCCTCCTGCTATGATTATGTCTGAAGGGGAGTCATGTCTCACCCTTGAGGTCCCCAGCCAAACCAACCCAGCTCAGCCATGAAGGGTGTCTTGGGCATGTCTGGGTGGCCCCAGGCTGAGGGTGGCTCATGAGGGGACACTGATCCTCACCAGCATCTTTGAGCTGGGGTTGGTTCTCCTCCCTCTGGCTGTGGTGGGGCAGGTTGTGCCATTGCCTGGGTATGATGAGCAAGCAGGGGACCCCCGTGTGCCAGTGCCAGGTGCAGGGGGACACACTGTGGAGCTGAGGGGGTTTGATGCACCGGGAGCCTCCAGAACAGGGGAATGTGGTGGGGTGGGTGCAGGAGATGCCTGCTGTGCTGGGGATGTCTTTGCAGACTCACCTGTTTTCTGCCACCAGGATCTGCTCCAGGAGTTTTCCTGCCTGGCACTTGATCTCCAGCTCCGCCGTGTACAGCAGGTTCA